GGCATGTGGCGTGGGCTCAGGGAAGGCGAGGTGGGTATAAGGTCCAAGCATCCTCAGAGGACGTGGTCTCCAGTCTTACCGGGACCCTGGGCACCCAAGGATGAAACACCAGCTTGCTGACACACTCCTTGCACTCCTGGCTCCAGTGCTGGCCCACAGAAAGGAGCCATTAAGACGCTCAATGGTTTTTATTTAATTACTGTCCTATAATTGCAGAGGGTGAAAGTGCTACTACAGTTATTGCTCTTTGATCTGATTAGCATAATCCTTTCCTAATCTTCCTTCTACATTTTTATTATTGTTGCCACATACCCTTTGTCGACATAATCTGGATTTCTTTTTGCCAAAGAGGCCGAAAGAAAGGCTTAGCCAAGCTCGTCACTTGTCTATCGCCTGGAGCCTGAAAGCTGGAGTGAGGAGCTTCCCTTCTGTGCCAGACACGGCTCCCTGCCTGGCTCTGCAGCCAGAGAGGGGTAGGGGCTGAGTGCTCCTGAGTCAGAGCTTCCAGGGGGCTGTCACAAGGCTGGCGGGTGAACATTTCCAGCGAGCGCCACCAGCTTTCCAGTGGAAATGCCAACTACAGCAATTACGAATGGACCTGGTGACTCTGGGGCTGCGGGCCTTGATTTGATGGTTGTGGGGAGAGCTGTGTGTGTGTGTGTGTGCACAGGTACATGGCATGTGTGTGTGGATGTATATCTCTTGACCTGGGGAACCGCAGGGAAGCCCCCAGATGCAACAGGGTGCACCTTGTCCCCGGGGGAGCAGCTCCATGCTGAGTTAAGGCAGAGGAGCCTGCGGTTCCTGGATAAGACCCAGCCACAGAGGAAACCCAGTGGATGGCGGGGACCTGTGCTGACTGCCTAGGTGGTGTCCTGTGGAGAGGAGGGAGGAGAAGTCAAAGACAGGGATTTCATGACCCTCGCAGAAGCTTTCTCAGGGAGAAGAGGTCTCATCTAAGATTTTTGTTTGTTTTTTGAGACAGTGTCTCGCTCTGTCTTCCAGGCTGGAGTGCAGTGGTGCAATCTTGGCTCACTTCAACCTCTGCCTTGTGGGCTCAAGTGATCCTCCCATCTTAGCCTCCCCAGTAGCTGGGACTGCAGGTGCGCACCACCACACCCAACTAACTATTTTTTTGTAGAGAAGGGGTTTTGCCATGTTGCCCAAGTTGGTCTCAAACTCCTGGGCTCAAGCACTCCTCTACCTGCCTCAGCCTACTAAAGTGTTGGGATCACAGGCAAGAGCCACAGCACCTGGCTTTTTTTTCTTTTTTGAGACAGGGTCTAGTTCTGTCACCCAGGCTGGAGTGCAGTGGCATGATCACTGCTCACTGCAACCTTGACCTCCCCAGGCTTAAGCAATCCTCCCAACTCAGCCTTCCAATTAGCTGGGGCTACTGACATGCACCACCACGCCTGGCTAGTTGTATTTTTTGTAGAGATGGGGTTTTGCCACATTGTCCAGGCTGGTCCCAAACTCCTGGGCTCAAGCGATCCATGCACCTCTGCCTCCCAAAGTGCTGGGATGACAGGCACGAGCCACCGAACCCAGACCCGAGATTCTTTTAGCTTCAGGAATAACTGTATGAAGGAGAGGGCGTTGCTGAGAGGGAATTTAAAACACAAAACCCTGAAGCAATCCTTCCTGGAGAACAGGGAGTGACCCTGGGCTGGACCATTTTCCAGCCATGGCAGAGCCAGGGGTTTTTATGAAGAAGCTGTGATACTACTAGAGCTACAGACCGAGCTCCTGAGATATCGCCCCTGTCCACGAGCAGCCAGGAGATCACAGAAAAGGCACCCAGGGTGGTTTTTTTTTTTTTTTTTTTTTTTTGAGACGGAGTCTCACTGTTATCCCCTGGGCTGGAGTGCAAATGGCACAATCTCGGCTCACTGCAACCTCTGTCTCCTGGGTTTCAGCGATTCTCCTGTCTCAGTCTCCCGAGTAGCTGGGATTACAGGCACCTGCCAACACGCCCAGCCAATTTTTGTATTTTCAGTAGAGACAAGGTTTCATCATGTTGACCAGGTTGATCTCAAACTCCTGACCTCAGGTGATCCACCTGCCTCGGCCTCCCAAAGTGCTGGGATTACAGTTGTGAGCCACCGCGCCCGGCCCTCAGGGTGGTTTTCTAGACAGTGATCGTTCAGCTGGGTCTTGAGAAATGCGTAAGGTTTAGACAGGCACAGGCTTGGGAGGGAGGGTTTGGTCAACACTCTTGGACTGTTTTTCCTCACTCAGTGTATCCACACCCAACACTGTCTGCGGGGCACAGGGTTGCCGCCTCCCACCCAGCCTAGCTCTTGGCTCTTCTCACTGGGACACTAACCCAAGTCAGACATACTATTAACCCAGGTCCCTGGGCTCCTGCCGCCTAAGAGGAGCCTCAGCCTGAGCAGGGGCTGTGGCCTCTAGCTGCTTCCCAAATCCCAGAGGAAGGCTCTGGAGGGACCTCCGATTTTCTCAACCCTGTGGTCAGAGCTGGCATCTGCATCCAGGCTCTTACAAAACTTGGTTGAGTGCAAATCTTGTTTTTGATCTCAGAAGCGTAGGAGACAGGATGACAGCCAACCGTTAAACACAAGTGGGGTAGCCACTGTCTGGCACATGATAGGCTCTTAATAACGGGCCTGTCCTTCCCCATTAGCAAAACCCGATTTTTAGTTAATAACAGGTTCTGGTTTAATTCTACAGTATATAAGTGTTTATTACTTTATTACTTAAATAAGAGTCATCTTTTTAGACCATGTCAATGAGCCTCCCGTCTAGGACTCCATCCCTCCTCTCCCTGCTCAGGGCTGGGCATCCTATTTCTGTGCACAGTCACTTTTTTTTTTTGAGGGTCTTGCTCTGACTCCCAGGCTGGAGTGCAGTGATATGGTTAGAAATCACTGTAGCCTCCACACCCCAGGCTCAAGCGATCTTCCCACTTCAGCTTTCTGAGTAGCTGGGGCCATGGGTGTGCACCACCATGCCTGGCTAATTTTTAATTTTTTTTGTAGAGAGGTGTCTCATGACGTTGCCCAGGCTGGTTTCGAACTCCTAGGCTCAAGCAATCCTCCCACCTCAACCTCCCAAAGTGCTGGGAATGCAGGCTTGAGCCCCCGTGCCTGGCCTAGCCTCACCTACATGTGATCCCCCCGCCTTAGCCTCCCGAGTAGCTGGGACTCTACTCAATTAGACGTTGCTCTCTAGTTCTCTTTATGGGACTTTCTTCTTCACAAGACTGAACACCCTCTGGGTTCAAGAGCTGCTGTCTCTTTGACCTGCTCTCCCCCAAGGACTCAGCACGCTCTGAGCCTGCAGAGGCTTCCAGGAGTGCTGGCTGAAGCAGATGTAGCAAGAAATACAGGCGGATTTTAGATTTATCTTTTTCTTTTTCTGCTCTTCCAGTTTTCATTTACAGTTCAGAAGTTATGCCAAAGTCACCTCCCTGTTACACAGAGTGACAATATTTTTCCACTTAACACATCACATTCCAGTCAGGGGACACGGCTTCATGTACCCCCGAGCCTCATCTTTACTCATCCCCTGGGTTGTGTCTCCCCAGGCCTGGTGAAACTGAGCCGATAAATGACAGCACTGGTTCTGCTGTTCCATCTTGCAGCGGGCTCTTCAGAAATAACCTATGCCATGCAAGCAGTAACGCCAAAAATGGGCTGACTCTGATTTGTTTTTTTTTTTAGACAGGGTCTAGTTTTGTCTCCCAGGTTGGAGTATAGTGGCCCGATCACAACTCACTGCAGCCTTGACCTCCTGAGCTCAAGGCAGCCTCCCATCTCAGCCTCCTGAGTAGCTGGGACTACAGGCATATGCCACCATGCTCGGCTAATTTTTAAATTTTTTGTAGAGACAAGGTCTCATTATGTTGCCCAGGCTTGTCTCAAACTCCTGGGTTCAAGTGATTCTTCCTCCTTGGCCTCCCGAAGTCGTGGGATTATAGGCCCAGACTAAATCTGATTTTTTTTTTTTTTTTGAGGCCGAGTCTTGCCCTGTTGCCCAGGCTGAAGTGCAGTGGTGTGACCTGGGCTCACTGCAACCTCTACCTCCTGGGTTCAAGTGATTCTCCTGTCTCAGTCTCCCAAGTAGCTGGGACTATAGGTGCACGCCACCATGCCCAGTTAATTTTTTGTAGTTTTGGTAGAGACAGGTTTCACCAACTTGGCCAGGCTGATCTCAAACTCCTGACCTCAGGTGATCCGCCTGCCTTGGTCTCCCAAAGTGCTGGGATTACAGGCATGAGTCAACGCGCCCGGCCTCTCTGATTCTTAATAAATGAAATCTGCCATGTAATTTTGAGTGGGCAGGTCTTAACCAGGTGTGGAGCTAAGAAAGCTTTGGAATCCACCTGTGTGGCTGCAGACAGACAAGGGCAAAAAACACTCCAAGTCTGCAGGTCCTTGGAAATACTGAACCACAGATGCTTTACCACTTGTTCCATTTGCCCGGACCCCAACCCCCTGCACATGAAGGAGCTGCAGAAGTTGCCAGAGACCAGGGAGACCACAATGCAAGCTTCTCCCCGTGCGCCGCAAATTAGGCAGGTGTTTCCCCTCCCACATTGGCCCACGATCTGTCAGATTACCCTGCTACAGAACCTGGGAAGACCTCTTTCTTCCTGACCTCCAACAGATTCCTCTAAACATGCACGTTTCATTTTTAACAGCTGAAAACAACAGTGCCAATCCACTCTTACTTTCCCCGAGCCACAGTTTTTGCATAAATGAATGAAAATCCAATCTATCACTAGCCTCCCGGGGCCAGGTGGGGCAAGAAAGGAAACAGCTTCAGAAAGAGTATTGTCAGGCGGCTCCCCACAGCAGCACCGCCAACAGCAAGGAAACACTTCCCACGTATTCCTCTAACCACTGCCTGACGTTATACCCCCGTTGGAAGGGAGTGGCTGGAAACAGCTACTGTTTAGGAGGGTGTGCACACACGCCGTGCGGTTCCCTCCCAAGGACAGACCACCAGGGGCTCGGGAATGGGCAGAGTCCTACCGAAAAGGCCATGGGGCTCCGACTGGCGCCTCTCCGTGCTTCGATTTTGGTCCTTGTGTTTCTTGTTGCTCCTGAGACTCCCAAAGCGCCTCATGGGTAGCTGTGGCCACAGGAGTGGCGACAGGTGAACATATCAGGACCCACAGAACCGGTGTCAGCCCCAGGTGGCAGGGAGCCAGAGGAGCATCAGCCCGACAGGCACGGGGCACCCCAAAAGCTCACAGTGGCAGCCTGTGCTCAGGTGACAACCCGGGTCCAAGCGTCCTCACCAGGGGGTCTTCAGAGCGACCTCACCGCAGCCCCAGAGTCTGTGAGGCGCCAGGGAGTGGAGCCGTCCTGACGGGGCTGCACCTCCGGCCACAGCAGCTGGAGCGTCAGCTCGGCTGTCCTTAAGTAGCAAGAAGCTGCCGGAAGCGCAAACAGAACTTCGCAGGGGATTTGTTGATGTAGTTAAGGTCAGCTGCTCACTGATACTCTCCAGGGCTTTTTTTTTTTTTTCTCCTTAAAATTAAAAAAAAGGAGGGAAGACCAGATAGGCAAAGGAGGCACAAGCCTGCAAGTCATGTGCAGCCGTGCATGATGTCTCTTTAAACAGACTGTAAAAGGAAACCACCCTGGGCAGACAATTCTTGGCACCAATTGGCCAGAGCACATTCCCATTGTGACATGACATCACACAACTATTTTGATTCATGGGTTCCAGGGCCCCACGGGGTCAGAAGGCTCCGGCTGCTGCTGGGTGGAGAAGCCACACAAGTCCCTGGGCTGGAAATTGCTGAATCTACTTTAACTCGGTTCCACTCAATGAAAGTAGCAGCGCCGTCTTCAAGGAGGGGATACGGCTGCCCGACTGGAATTTAACGGAAGGTCTTCAGCAAATGCGTAATTTGAGCTCTGGACTTGCTGAGAATTGCAGCATGACAGAGCTGGAAGAGATTTTAGAGCGATCTAGTCCAACTCCCTTCTATGACAGACGGGGAAACAGGCTCAGGACAGGGAGGTGACTTCCCCAAGATCCTGTGGCCAGTGGTAGAACCAGGACTGGCGTTTTAATCTCCTTGACTCCTAAGCCAAACCGCTGATCAAATAAAACCTAAAACATTTATAATTTGTATATGTTTTGCAACTAAATAAAACAAATTTTGGAAGCACAAGATAGAAAAAAAAAAATCCTCGACTTTTTGGCTGATAGCCTCACTAAAGTTATCTGCTTTGCTACTAACCAGCTTTGTGACCATCAAAAAGTTACTTCCCATTTCTGAACTTCAGTTTCCCCCTTAGTGAACTAAGACAAGACCAGGTCGTTTTAGGATTTAGTCTAGGACCACGCACAGTGGCTCACGCCTGTAATCTCAGCACTTTGGGAGGCTGAGGTGGGAGGATGGCTTGAGCCTAGGAGTTCAAAACCAGCCGGGGCAACATAATGAAACCCACATCTCTATTAAAAAAAAAAAAGAGAGAGAGAGAGATTTAGCCAAGTTCCAACAGTCTGAACCTCTCACAGTAATTGATTCTTCTCAAATGACTATGCACATGAGGAGGAGACTATGTCAGACCAGTTAAATAACCCCCGAGCTAAAGATTAGTAGCCTGGGTTCTCCTGGCCGCCCATTAGGGTGGGATAACCTCCCAAAACTGCAACGCCATCAGTTTCTTCAGTGGAATTGTTATTATCTACGGTTCGTCTGAAAACGAGGGGATGGGGTGTGCGGTGGAAGCACCCCAGCCACTTGCCACTGGAGCCCAGGCCTCCCCAGGAACCACGGGTCCAGCCTCCCAACTTGGGTCTGGCTGCTTTTCATGCCTTTTCTCTCGTCTCTTTCACTTGCAGGGCTCAGTGCCACTGGAGTTGTTGGCCCAGTCACTGCAGATGCCTGATGAGATAACGATGGCTCCAGGCTAGGACAGCAGGAGGGAGACCAAGGGAAGTCTTCGATTCTACCCTGTGAGATGCACCCCTGGAATCTCAGCTCCCACCCCAGATCTGCCACTCCCATGGGGCTTCCATCCACAGAAGCCAGAGACGCCTCAGATCTGCCATTCCCACAGGGTTAGCATCCACAGAAGCCAGGGACATCCCAGATCTGCCACTCCCACAGGGCCTCCACCCACAGAGGCCAAAGATGCTCCAGATCTGCCATTCCCACAGGGCCAGCATCCACAGAAGTCAGACATGTCCCAGATCTGCCACTCCCATGGAGCCTCCATCCACAGAAGCCAGAGATGCCCAGATCTGCCACTCCCATGGGGCCACCATCCACAGAAGCCAGAGGCACCCCAGATCTGCCACTTCCACAGGCCCAGCATTCACAGAAACCAGACGTGTCCCAGATCTGCCACTCCCATGGGGCCTCCATCCACAGAAGCCAGAGATGCCCAGATCTGCCACTCCCATGGGGCCACCATCCACAGAAGCCAGAGATGCCCAGATCTGCCACTCCCATGGGGCCTCCATCCACAAGAAGCCAGAGATGCCCAGATCTGCCACTGCCATGGGGCCTCCATCCACAGAAGCCAGAGATGCCCAGATCTGCCACTGCCATGGGGCCTCCATCCACAGGGGACACACTCCAGCTCCCAAGAAGCCTGGTCGGCCCTGGCGTGGCTCCTGTATGGCTGGAGCTGCTTCTAGCACTTCAGATGCCATTGACTGGTAGAGCAACTGCTCACGTGATTGGACCTGACCCATTCTGTCAAGATGTGTGAGTCTGTCCTTCCCCGCCTAGGGCACCTGGCCCATCTCTGTCTAGAGTGACCTCATAGTCATACCATTGCTTAGCAGATCAAGAAACTATGGTCTCAACTTTTCTCGTGCAATTTCTACCAAATGGACTGAGTGACAGCTGTCTACTTGGTGCTGTGCTGAATGTTGTAAGGTCAGGAAGTCCTACAAGGCATGACCCAGCCTTTATTTATTCATTCATTCATTCATTCATTCATTCATTTATATTGAGACAGAATTTTGCTCTTGTTGCCCAGGCTGGAGTGCAATGGCACAATCTGCAGCCTCTGTCTTCTGGGTTCAAGTGATCCTCCCACCTCAGCCTCACAAGTGGCTGGGACTACAGGTGCACACCACCACGCCCAGGTAATTTTTGTATTTTTTGTGGAGATGGGGTTTTGCCATGTTGCCCAGCCTGGTCTCAAACTCCTGGCCTCAAGTGATCCACCTGCCTCGGCCTCCCGAAGTGCTGGGATTACAGGTGTGAGCCACCACACCTGGCTGGAATTTTCTAACCTACCCGCTTTCGTTTACACCATTTGCCCTGCCTCCTAAGCCCGTGGTTTTCAGCTCTGCCTGCTGAAACCCTGTGAAACCCTTACAGCCCAATTCAGAGACCGTGCCTTCCCCCACGTGAAGCCTCCCTCATCACTCGCCAAAGAAGGGACTTTTCCCTCCTTTGAAAGATTTTAGCTCTTCTACTCTATATGTGAATGTGGCCCGTACCACAGAGAAGACTGGGAACCCCAAAAAGGTAGGGGCCCAGGCCACACCCATCGTGGGGATCTCCCAAGCCTCCAGCAAGGCATCTACTTTGGGAGGCACTGGACAGTCACCCTGAACCCCTGCAGTCCCTCCAGCTGCCCCTGCTCCCCGGTGGAGCCGACTGGAGGGGCTACACGGCCAGGCTCCTCCCAGGCTGCTGGTTAGCTGCAGCCAACAGTGGGCACAGCAGATGCCAGAAGGAGGGAGGAGCTGAGGCTGTCATAGCCCCCTACATCCCTGCAGAGTCACTCTGGCCTCACTGTGTCATCTCCCAAGGGAAGAATTCAGCTCCTCTCAAAGAAACCCTCCCCCAGCCTTCTGTCTTGGGTCAGGGACCCGCTCCTTCATCGTTCGGGCACAGCACTGGCAGCAGCCCTGCTGATATGAACCCGAGTTACTACACCAGCCCTGGGGGTTCCCGGCAGCCTGCCCACACCTTTGAAAGTAGTGTCTTTATTCAATTCTCCTCCAACGATCTAAAAAGTTCAGTGTGCCTCCTTTCTCCTGCTGGGACTGATAGATAGATATGGGGATCAGGTATTTGTAGCACAGATGCATGAATGAACACACAAAATAGGTCTTGCTCTCAGTGACTTTGCAAATGAGCTGGAGACAAAGATAAACAATGCTAACTGCATGCAAAAGCTGTGAGTATGTGAGCCGTGGCTGCAAGTGTCGCCAGCACAAAGGAAGGAGAGGAGAGGGCCTGTGTGGCCCTGCCTGGAGAAGGGGAACTTGAGATGGGCCTTCGGGGTTGGAGGGTGTGAAGAAGAGGGGAGAACCCAGGCCAGGCCAAATCAATGCCTGTAGTGGGGGACCCCAGCCTTCAGAAACAAGCCACAAAATCTACCGCCAGCTGGGTCCTCGGTATACTGTTGGATGATTTCTGTTGTTAAATACAGTAGCCCAAACGTACTGTGATTAAATTCTGGAAGTAGGTAAGTTTAGGAGTTTCATGTGTAGATGTCTTTTTCTTTTCTTTTTAAAAAATCAGCTTCTAACAAAAATTGTTTTCTCAAGTTAAAAATAAAATAACACCCAGTGCGGTGGCTCACACCTGTAATCCCAGCACTTTGGGAGGCTGAGGCGGGAGGATTGCTTGAGCCCAGGAGGTCGAGGCTCTAGTGAGCCATGATCCTGCCACTGCACATCAGCCTGGGTGACAGAGTGAGACCCTGTCTCAAAAAATAAAACAAAATAAAATAAAATAAAATAAAACAAAGCAAAACATCTTTATGAAAAGACCTGAACAAGTATCCCAATAAGAAAAAGGCAGATTTGATTAAAAGGCAAATGAAAAGGTTTTGTTTAAGCCAGTGTACTATTCTTACACTATATAATACAACGGACAGAAAGAACATTTCAAGGCTGGTTGCGGTGGCTCACACCTATAATCCCAGCACTTTGGGAGGCCGAGGCAGGCAGATCACCTGAGGTTGGGAGTTCAAGACCAGCCTGACCAACATGGTGAAACCCCGCCTCTACTAAAAATACAAAATTAGCTGGGCATGGTGGCGCGTGCCTCTAATCCCAGCTATTAAGGAGGCTGAGGCAGGAGAATCGCTTGAAACAGGAGGTGGAGGTTGTGGTGAGCTGAGATCACGCCATTGCACTCTAGCCTGGGCAACAAGAGTGAAACTCTGTCTCAAAACAAAAACAAAAACAAAAACAAACAAAAAAAAGAACATTTCAAAGTTTAGTGACTGAAGGTAAATGTATTTAAATTTGTGTGGAAAATAACCAGCAACTTAGGCAGGCCTGATGGTTCTGTGCTTGAGTTTAAATGGTCATTCATTCAACAGGTAGTTATTAAACCTCTAGCAAGCGTACAGGGCAGTTGTTGATTGAAGGGATGGGGTACTACAAATAATTCAGACATTCCTGTCCTCTAAGAACCATATTTTATTACTAACATAATAACTCCCATTTACTGAATGCCTAGCATACGCCAGCTGGGGTGCTGGTCACCTTACAGTTATTATTTTATTTCATTCTTCCCACACATGAGCAGGGCAGGCATAATTAACAACATTTCATTGAAAGACGAATAACTGAGGGTCAGAGAACTAGTTTGACCAGGATGGCACAGCTGGCAAGTTGACAGAAGATGGACTTGCCCCTCATGTGGACCCCTGATTCCCAAATTCACATCCTTCCACTATTCCATACTTTCTCATCGATGTGCACGGGAAAATTCGTCAGCCATTGAACACCCTACCCTGAATCCCACAGGACTCTCGAGGACCACTGCGGACTGAAGGGATTTGGAAAATAATTTCTTTCTACATCCTGAGTTTTGATTTCAGGCTGGGAAATTAAAAGGCAAAAGAAGCAGCATGTTTAAAAATCCTGACTAGCGTGCATGCCTGTAATCCCAGCACTTTGGGAGGCCGAGCCGGGTGGATCAAGAGGTCAAGAGATCAAGACAATCCTGGCCAACACGGTGAAACCCTGTCTTTACCAAAAATGCAAAAATTAGCTGGGTGTGGTGGTGGGCACCTGTAGTCCCAGCTACTCGAGAAACTGAGGCAGGAGAATCACTTGAACCCGGGAGGCGGAGGTTGCAGTGAACGGAGATTGTGCCACTGCACTCCATCCAGCCTGTGCAACAGAGCGAGATTTCATCTCGGGAAAAAAAAAAAAGTCCTTATTTGCATTAAAGCCATCTCGTAACACAGACTGGACGAGTCAGGTGACCTGCCACATGGGTGCACCATGCTCTGGAAGCACAAAGCCGGCCGCTTCCTCCCCGAGGCCACTTCGAGGTGGCCGAGCACAGAGGTGGGGCACGAAAGCTCCTCACTGCTGGGGTCTTTCTGTTTGACTCACACAGGCCTGAAATTCCTCACATGAGGGACAAAGCTTTGGATCCC